ATTTTCATATACATATACATATATATATTGTATTTGTACGTATATATATATATAACTTAACATATTATACATGGACGCATCCGAATTGATACTTAGTTCATCAATCACGTAGGAAAAGATACTTGCAAGAATATTGTCACCTATATACTTTGAACTTTAATGTATCGTATTCTTATATATGGATTATTTTCAATTTCGAATAATATCGTTGCTGACAAGTTCTCCTATGTACAAACTTTCTTATCACGATAGGAAGTTAAGCCTTTTCTGATTGATTTCACATACACGTTAGTGAATGTCAATAGAGCACCGTGTCCACTTATAGATTCAAGTACATTGTGTTTACCCATTTGATAACCTGTTGCTATCGGACGATGAATGTCACGTAGGCTTGTTATTATTGTGAAAATAACATAACCCTCTGTCAGAATATCGTTGTACAGTTGGCATCAAATATCAAGTATGCCTGTTAACATAGATACATAACCCTGTACATGTATATACATGTAATGAAAAATAAACGAATTTTAATTTCAATTCGGTAATGTTGTGTGCCGCAGATTTTTTTACTCAAGTAGATTGACATGAACGACTTTCTAATCATTTACATTCTTGTTTGTAGGTTGTGGATGTGCAGAAATATACCATATCTCCCCCTGGTGTTGGGCTGAATGCCTGGAAAAGCCTTGAAACTCATCCGTATTGGTTTGATCGCACGTCTCAAATGGTCGCAAACATCGCCAAACTTCAAGGGGTATGCAGAAAGAAGAATGTGGAGGTCCTCTATACTGTCATAGAAGCACTCACTGTATATGGCCGGGATCAGAGTCTAGATTACAAACTGAGGTAAGCGAGCCACGATGGTTTTCTATTCAACCATGATTCACTGAGATTTAACATCCTTCTCGCACGATCTTGCTCCCATTGCTCCATAAACTAATTAGGTGGAAAAACCAATCCAGTAATCGGATTGAGAGATGATATATGGGCTATACGAGAATGCATGGCGTCGTGATATACATACACGATGTAGTCATTGCCAAAGAATAATCTCCCATTTCTAACATAGTCAAACTCCTCCACACAGGCTCATGTGTCGGTTCGTTTTACTAATAGCTACGCACGATCAGCCACCGTATTTATTCTTGACCTGTTTCAGATAGCATTTACGCATCCAGCATACTTTGCGGATGTTTCTTATAACATGTTTTTACTAAGTACAGTGCCGCGTTGAAATGTGGCTTGTGTATCTACATTCGCACAATTGCAGAAGCAGGTTTCATCACATTCACTAGTGAATTTGAAGTCCTTGCTCATTGGCACAGTCGATTTACTTCACCGATGCAATTGCTCATTGGCACAGTCGATTAACTTCACCGATGCAATTGTGACTGTGGCCCTGCTTCCGAGCCAATGTGTACCTTCCCTCTCCCAGCACGTTAACATCAGCCAGTTCGATTAATCCCTGTTGTGAACACACTACTCCACCTCTGAGACTTCTGGTTTTAACTCTAGTTTGTATGCAACGAATGTGATCAATTCGCAGGAATTTTCGAACTTGTAGAGCACCAACAAGATTATTACAGTTAACCATTTTTTACACCCCCCCTATAACAACAGTGGGTTTCTGGTTCCAAAGGGCAGTGATCTTGCACAGATGATCCAGAAATCGAGTCCCTAGGGGACGAAATATGCATCCCAAAAACTTCACATAGTCCCGTAAGTATAAAGAGCACCTGCACACGATTTTGTATTCCATATTGTGAGTTTACTATACATACTTCTTCGCTACAGAACTTTGTGTCATAGCAGTGAGCTTATACATTCAAGGTCCATATGATTGCTGTTAGCTTTCAAATGAATGTCAACGCCAGATTTGCCGTCTGGGCAAGCCATACGCAACTGAGCGCCGGAAACAGCTATAATCCAGTGTGGGCCATATATGGTAGTACACGTGCTTAATACCTTTTCTATGTGCTCGCATAAGACAAACTTCAGAATATTACTTGTTGGTTTCAAGCTTTGTGCTGCAGAAATCGGTCAGATTGCAGTCGTGGTGCACAATATTTGTGAAGCGAGCAGTGTCAAAAACAAAGACAAGACGATGCTGACATACTGCTCATCGTGATCTTCCACTCAGTTCAACTCCACAAATATGGACTACGTACTGCGAAATATGGGCGTCAAACATTTGATCGTTGTGGGCATGTTGACCAATCAGTGTGTTGAAGGCACAATTCGCGACGCTGCAAATAAGGGTTATTTGTGCACGTTGGTTACTGATGCAACCTCTGCACATACACTGGAAGAACAGTCATCAGGTGAATTCAATCTGAAGGGATTTGCTAGATTGTTGACCACTGAAGAGCTGATAACCGAGATATATGCACAGTAAAATTAATATTGCCGAGAAGGTAGGTTTTTGATGCGATACTTGACAACATGGTATTGCGAAAGGAGATGTAAATGAATATACTCTGATATGGATCGTGCAACGGGGAAGGTCAATTTATTTTGGACAAACTATTTCAGACATAGTTTCATCGACTCGATGGCAAAAGGGAAATAAACGTTGAAAAGACACCAATTTGATTTCGCCTGCTGTATTTGCTCTACTGAGACTTAATCTCTCTTAATTTGCTTATACCAAATGTGATTTGCCATATTACGCAATTGTATCCTAACCCAAATCGACAAAAGAAAGCGTTCAGTTGAATACATTTCCAATAGCCTTTTTAAAAAAATCATTTTTTTGTGGTAGGTAGGTACAACGCAACTATACAGTAGAACACGGCTCCTTTTTTTTCTTCTCGTTTTATAAAATTAAATTGTCGTTAGGGCATACAAAACTAAACGTGCCCAAAATCTCGCAAAGCAACCTTTGCTGTGGCCAGTACCGTATATGGGGTTATAAAACCTATCTATCCTTTTTTTTCGGGAAAGGATTTCCATTCAAATGAAACAAGAAGTTTAAGTTTCATCGCAGCAATTCAATGTTGCAGTGAGTAAAGCGGCGGTTGTTTAATACGAGACGGTATGCAATTATCTGATTATGCCGATGGACGTACAGATTGAATAGTTGGCCTTTCTCGATTAGATATACAACAAAAGTCGGCGACATAAAGCTTGGAACCTCCTTTCGCTCGTGCGTGCTAGTTTTATTTATTGGTCGACTCTTCACCGGCTTCTCTCCGGTTCACGTCTCACAGTTATATATATAGATTCACTGCTCACCAGCTGATAGAACCCTCGGCAGAACACATGGCACCGCCCCCATCGAGCCTATCCTTTTAAATTTAATATATTTTTCATTGTTGCGTGGCCAATTAGCCTTAATTAACCCACTCTTGGACTCTATATGGAGTTGAGTACAGCGTTATACATCATTCTCTGAAAAGCCCCGGTTTTGAACTGTTGCCCGCGAATCGCCATTTTACTGCAGATATGTCGCACGAGGTATGTTGAATGCTTGCAAACCAAGGTGATTTTTCCAGGTATGAACGCGCCCATATATGCATTTGACAGGTTTGCTATTCTTGATTACTGCATGTACCGACTGCCCTTCCAGACGCTTCGGGACCATGCTTACGAGCTGTTTACCGTGGCAGGCTGCTCTTCTTGTTATGCTATGTGTCTTGCTAAGTAGACTGAGTGTGTTGCTATTATTTTGTGATATCATTCGATAGGTCATAGACTGTGGGTGTGCCTCATATTGTCTTCAACTTGCCAGATATAACAGTGCAATTAACACACGGCCATAGCCATATATAAACCAAGTGCTCCATACACTATGTATTTCGCGACTACGGGCGGTACAAGTGGCTTCAAGATGGGCTTCAGCACCAGTCGGATACTGCCTACTACGAGCATATCGAGGACATAGCACGTGACGATGGTAGATAGATCAATCGCAGTGCTCATGTCGATGGGAGAGGATCGATATCTACTGCCCAACTGCATGCCGAAGGCCAGACTCGCACAGACAATCGTCCAGTCGCGTGTGCTTTTCCCATTCATTGTGTTGGGATCTGGGTATGTTGAGCAAGGGAATTAGTATGGTCAATAAGCAAGCACGAACTATCGATAATCTGAATGAGAGATCAAACTTAGACAATTCAAATACTGCGGAACATGCGTAGTTGGACTAAATGCACAGCTTGAAATTCACCGGTGCTCCGAATTGCTTAATCTGGAGAGTTGGATTGACCGCTTGATGCCATACATATCTGACAGTTGAACAACTCATTCTGCATACATACACAGTGCAATAGCTTTTGAACATCCACATTTTGCATGAAATTTGTAAAACTTTCTATCTCATGCCCTCTGACATCTATATTGGATTGCAAATTTCAATTGAGCACAGCATACTGACCTAGAAATAACATTAACTGAGGATTATGATACTCTTAAACCAGCAAAAAAAAACTTCGATGTCCACATACTTACCTGGGTGAGAATATATAATGATGACGCTGATTAAGAAAGTGCATATATCATATATGCAGCTTCCACTGATATAATAGGCTTCTAGCTGATCCGCTATACTCATATACCAGAAAAGCAAGGGTACTGAGTATAATACCCCCCCCACTGTATCTGTCAACGAATGTACACCCAAATACATTCGTGAATACGCCATGACGATGACAGTGATTATACAGGTTATGGGACTGAGTACGAAGCCTCCAATCAGCGTTGCTGCGCTCGTATGTGTAGACGGAAATCCAAAGTCTTGTTCATCTTTGTGCTGCAGTAGCAGTACCGCATCTTGCACTTGCCTGCGATAACAGGACAACAGATATATAAAACTTCAAAATAGCTTCGCAGCATTGCGGTGGAATACACCTATATATAAAAGGGATTTGTCCAACTAAAAGATGGGAAATGCATCCCGAACAAAAAAAGCAACAAATCGAGTCAGACAAGCAATGTATCGGATACAAAAACAATCATCTAATGAAATATGGCCCATTGATATGATTACCCGTATGTACACGCATACACAGACAAGCACATATATACCTTGTATTGATATATATATATATATATACATTATATATATATATATAAGTATATATGTGTACATGTATATATATATGTATGTATGTATGTATGTATGTATGTATGTT